CACTCTTTCAGTGAAGAAATCCTTCCTAATATCCAATCAAAACCTCCCTATGTGCAACTTGAGCCCACTTCCTCTCATCCTATTGTTATTAACTTGGGAGAAGACACAAATACTCACCCCACTACAACCTCCTTTCAGGTAGCTGAAGAGAACAAGATTTCTGTTGCCTGGGGTGGTTGTGACCCAATGAAAGACACAGAGAGACTGATTCTTACCTACTAGCTTTGAATATAGGGGAGTTTGCTTTAAAGCCTGAAAGTTACATGATGCTTTGCAACGCCTCTATAAACAAATATTGTTAGTTGCAGCCATTGTCTTCAAAATAATTTATTTAAGCCCATGCAAATTACTTCCACTTCTGTATTAAATGTTAATCTTTGCAATATAATGCTAGGTTTTAAAGTGGAAAGACTAAGGAGACTGCAATTAATGACACTTTCTCCTTCCAACTGCTAAAACCAAGAATTACACAGACAAGATACTTTAAAAGTACCTAACTTTCAGTCTCTGTATTGAGTTTATGGCTCTGTCCTATAGATACTCAAGCATGGGGTCACAACCAGCCCAGGCAATGCCACAGGCTTGGGGAAGAGTGGCTGAAAAGCTGCCCTGAGGAACAGAACCTGGGGGTGCTGGTCAACAAACAGCTAAATACAAGCCAGCATTGTGCCCAGATGGCCAAGAAGGCAAACAGCATCCTGGCTTATATCAGAAATAGTGTGGCCAACAGGACTGTGGAAGTGATTATCCTCCTCTAATCAGCAGTGGTGATTCTACACATCAAATACTGAGTTCAGTTTTGGGCTCCTCAATACAAGAAAGACATTGAGGTGCTGGAATATGTCCAGAGAAGGCCAATGAAGCTGGTGAAGAGCCTACAGCACGAGTCTTACGAGAAGAAGCTGAGGGAGTAGGGGTCACTTAGCCTGGAGAAAAGGAGGCTCAGGGGAGACCTTATCACTCTCTACAACTACCTGAAAGGAGGCTGTAGTGAGGTATGGGTCCATCTCTTCTCCCAAGTAACAAGTGACAGGACAAGAGGAAATGGTCTCCAGTTGCGCCAGGGGAGGTTTAGGTTGGTTATTAGAGGAAACTTCTTCACTGAAAGGATTGTCAAGCACTGGAATAGGCTGCTCAAGGGCATGGTGGAGTCACCATCCCTGTAGGTACTTAAAAGTTGTGTAGATGAGGTGCTGAGGGACATGGTTTAGTGGTGGACTTGGTAGTGTCAGTTCAATGGTTGGATTTTATAATCTTAAAGGTCTTTCCCAACCAGAAAAATCCTGTGATTCTGTGTAAGGACTATTCTATATGCCAACTTTAACATCAAGTAATAGAGCCCCAGTCATATCTTCACAAAACTTCTTGGACAAAAGAAAAACATTCAAGTTTACCTAGATTTCTCTTCTGGGCCCTGAGAGAGTAAGCTGCTGCTATCTTCCCTGAGAAACTACAAGCACAACAGCTGGGCTTTGCTTGATTTCATGTCTCAAAGTTTTGCTGTAGTGAAATACAAGTCCTTTTGAATTGCAGTGATAGGTTAACTATGGCTAAGGTTCAAAGAGCAACATGCCTACCTTGGGTTTCAGATCACCTGTGCTAATAAGTCAGAGTGTGGTTTCACAGTTTCACTTAAATAACTGCAACTCTTTGCTGCTGCCATGCGCTGGGCTCTTGGACTCTCCTAGCACACTCCTTTCTACGTTACATCTATTGGTTGCCAAGTCACAGTCAGAGCCAGGTCAGCTCACAGGTTTCCTGAAAAACCACCAGAGACTCTCAGGTTTCAATCAGCAAGTCTAGACTGTTCAGGTAACCTCCACCTTGCTCCAGCCAAGGACTGGCTAAAATTTCCTCCTCCTGCAGTACAGATCCAAGTATGCTGCACAGGCAGAATATTCTTTAATCCTGCCTTTCCCATGGAGAAAGAGAGAGAGAAGCAGGAAAAAAAAAAAAAAAAAAAGATATCCAAGAACTGTAGTCTGTAGCCCCATTAAGATACCCACTACTTATTCTTAAAGGAGTAGGTAGTCCAACTAACAGCTCTTGCTTTTTGTAATATATTGCTGAATCCTCCATGAAAAGAGATTTATCTCAGGAAGGAGAGAAAATTTGTTTCCCCACTGAAACAGCTTTTTCAGAATATGTTTGTCTATCTCTCTGCAACGGGAGCAAATTATTATTTGCTTGCCACAAAAGATGGGTGTAAAGAAAATAAAAAGTCTGATCACAAATTCCAACTTGTTTGAAATTATATGCTACTTGCAACACCATCACATCAGAAAAAGCAGGTAAATGAAAGTGTTCTTATCACTACCTCAGCTGCTGCTACGTGCTGTAAGTATTCAACTCTTAACTGTGGCATTCTGACAGTGCACAAAACTCTCCTTAAAGAAAACATGATTCAGTAACCTGACATGTTACAACACTAACACTTCTTGCTCAGAATTGAATACTCCTACTTGGAAGTTTCTCTAAAACTCAATGACAGTAGAATAAATTTTAATCTCTAATAAGTATATGGGCAAAAGAAAATGTGTTAAAGTATATAAACATTACAAAAATGCCACTGTCGACTGGACCAGTCCCAATCACTATCCTTAAGCTGAAGTCAACAGAAGCTTTTACCTCAACATTCTAGTACATCTAAATTGTCAATAGCAGTTCAAAAAATTCTGACAACCTCAACACAGAGATGAATACCATGCACTGCAATAACAGTACTAATCTCTGGAAAACATTCAGACATGGTTTATATTTATGTTCTAGCCACTTTGGACAGCACTATTTGAGCTGAGTATGGGAGTTCTCATTTTGTACAAGCCCAAACAGTTGTGATATAAGAACTAAGACTGCCATTTATTCCTGTCACAATCTTAAACGCCAACAACTCAACTGTTCCTACTCCATGATAGCACCTCTGAAGCAGAGTTTCCAGGCATAACTTAAAAACTCACTCTTCTCTATCTAGTTTTAGAAACAAGTCTTAAAATATTATACTCCTCTATGCTTGTGTCTCTCTGTCTTCCCCAACTAATGTATTTTGGACTAGCTGGCTAAGCTCAACCACTGAAAAAAACGGTGGAAGTTTAAAAAAAAACCCAAACACCTGCACAACTGCATTGCCAAAAGCTCTGTCAATAACAGACATAATGCAACATGCCTCGCAAAAAATAAAGAACCAGAATAAACTTAAGCAGATGCAAATTGAGCTGTCATTTTCTTCTCTTCTATCCTTATCACTCCCTCTCCAAAATGAATAAAGTAACAACACAATCCACGCAATATTATATTTCTTGGCTTTCATTAGTGAGTTGGAAAGCCTCCAAGTTTATTTCTGGTAATCCTGGAAAAAAGCTATTAAATCCTTTTATGTGATCAGATCACATTAGCAAATTGAACAAACTTTAGTACTTGAATCATGGTTGTTTTGCTTTGGTGTTTTTTTTTTGGGGTTGTTTTTTTTTTTTGTTTGTTTGTTTGGTTGGTTTTTCTGTAGTTTGTTGTGGTTTTTGGTGTAGTTTTTTGTGTTTGTTTTTTCAACTGAGTGTAGTAAGTAGCTAGTTTCCTGTGAAAAAGAGGATTAAGTGACCATGCCTTTTTCTGTACCCTACATTTTCCCATAATTCTCAACCTGTTGATCAGTTCCAGTCAAACATAAAGGAATATTAGAGGCTTGGAAGACATTAGTTAATATATATTTTATGCTAGCAAGGAGAGAGAAAAGAAAGCCACAGTCCCCAGCACAAAGACAGCTGTATCCTAACACTTTATCAAGCCCAAGCAGCGCTCAGCCAGCTGCCCAATAAACAGACAAGTCAGCTCCAACCTGTCTGTGCATCTCAGACTGTGTATGTGCTGTCACCTGCCCAGATGGAAAGGTACAGGACTCTACAGATCATTTATGTGAATACCACTGTATCCTCAGTTTCACAGGAGTTCTTTTACTTATCTTGTGTATGCTCCATAGCTTTTTCATTATATATAAACAATCTTACCTTATTTGGTATAGGGTGTGTGCTTGATCTTCCCTCAGATGATTTTGATGTGGGGCACGGGTTATCACTTAGAACTGGAGACATCTAAGAAGTTTCACAAACACATATTAAAAATTTAATTAAGTCTTATTACCATCCAACAAGAAAAAAAGCTACCATCCTCACTCAGGCAGCATGCAAACTGTGACACTGTGATGCTATGTTAGGCAGTCTATGAGAACTACTTCTGAATTTAAGCTTCCATTAGGGAACTGAATGCAATTTGGATGCAGAGACTTCTCTTCCAAGCCACAGTCACAACAGAAAACTAACCAAATGCTATTGGTTGGATTGCATTCATTTATTTAACAACTATAATATCCTATTAAAATATTACTGTCATTGCCTTCAGATAAGTGAAACACTTTCATATATTTAATTTTAAATACATATGTTTTCAGAACAGCTTTAAAGTTTTTAACAAAATCAATTCTAGGCTTTTCAGGTCATATTAAATTAGAAGTATGCCAAAGAAAATATGTACAGCTAAAAGTGTTACCAAACTACACTAGAAATTAGAAAGTGAGGGTGTTTTGTGTCATTTATCTGGGTCCACTCTGTGTTACTACATTGTAGCAGATTATTAGTAAAGAGTACTAGGGTGGTATTAAAATTAACAGAATAGTCAATCTTTATCTTTCAGCCTTGTTTTCAGGTAAGTTATGTTGATGGCATAATGTAAAATGTGAAAGTATAATATACTTGACGATAGCCAATTGTTCTTAATTTCAGTTTATTTTTCAACACTGAAATGAAAATAAAGAATTAGGAAGAAAGAAAGCAATGGTGTCAACACTACTTACTTCTCCACCGCCCGAATTCTTTTTCTGCTGACATTTTCTAACAACCTCCAACAACAGGGGACCACCCACAGTACCCTCTGCTTCTGTAATTCCCAAATCTCGAGCTAGATTTTCTCGACCATCAAGGCCATTTAGCTAAAGAAAAAAAAAGCACAACACAGTAATAACTGTCACAAAACTCAACATATGTTTTGTAACAGAACTCCCAAATCTTTTTGGTCTTATTTAACAGCAATTATTTAGGACTTCCTGTTGCATGTGGGCTAATGTAATGATGGACTGTTCCATCACTTACTCCCCATCTGTACCTGAGCTTACCACAGACCATCCAAAATTATTTTACATATGCAAGTATTAATCATTTGTATGATTCAGGATTTATATGGTGAATTTACTTTCACCTGTCACTTTTAAAAATGGATCCTAGGACAACTATGAGTTTGCTGGAACCACTGGCTAGATGGAGAATATCCATTCCTGTGCATATAAAATTATACTAGCACAGGTCAATACTGACTTTGAGCCTGTTTCACTTTAAAAAGACATTGGTTTGGACAGGAATAGGGATGATAATTCATATCACAAAAAAAGAAAAATACAACAGAAGCAGAATGCTGCAGCAAGCCCAAGTTGGTTGCCATAACCTCAGAATGGCAAAACTGCAAAGGGCACCAGTTGAACTTGAACACTTAAAATTACTTGATGACACCTATTGAAACACTGGTCAAGCAAATACTGAACGCAAGCCACCACTGAAACCTGGAGGATAAACAGGCCATATGCCAAACTGCTCAGAGACAAGGGCTGGTAGAGGAAGACAAAGCAAAATCTTTCAGCTCTATGCACAGCAGTCTTGGCCAGCTTGCTTACTTTCACCAAGTATCACGTACAGACTGCAACAAGCAAAAGACACTTTTACTGGAAAAAGGAAGAGGGCGTTTCAAAGAGCACGAGATGCCCTACCAATGCAAATGAAGCATTGCTCCCAGGAGTGAGCAGCAATACGACAAAGCATCAACAGTTTCTAACTGGTAGCATGAATGTGAACCTCTGTGCAGAGGTGTCCTTGTGCACTGCCTGCAGAGAAGGCAAAGGACAAGGCTGCGCGAGATTTTCTTGGACTAAGCCGCTAAAAAGGAACATGAACTTCTGAGAAACATAAGTCAATTAATTGATTTAATAAAGCTGGATTTTTAATTTTTTAGCCACTTAAACTGACAGTAAGAATAAAAATGAGTATTTGAGATGCAAATGGAAATTCTTCAGTTACATGGAACTGTTTAAATGCCAAGTTTATTACTAAAACCTTTATATCATAAAAACATAGAAAGGACAAATGTAAGAAACTTCTAACTCAGTATCAAAAGCCTAAAAGTAATCAATTGGTTGGTACGATTCTTGTACGTTCCTCTCAACTGAACTACTCTATTCAATCATTTTTTACCCTGTACATCTGCACAAAGTCCTTTGTTTCACTGAAATTCCTCTCAGAATAATTACTGACATTATTTTAATTTTAATGTAACAATACTGACTTAGTATCATGACATAGGAAAATTACTGGCAAAAAATGCTGGTGTATTCTGTTGTGTATACTGTTATAAGATTTCACAAAAATCACTAATTTGTTAATTTGAAGTGAACATCATCAAGCACTAATTTTTTTTATAGAGGGACTACTCACTCACACTAGCACACTTTTCTGGAGTGTCTGTCTTTATGGGAAGAAGTACCTTTCACAGACTAAATATAAAATACTATTTAGCATAAACACAAGCAAATGGCTTAAATAAACCTACTACAGCACCCACATTCATAGCCAGGCACTCAGAACAATCAGCACAGCATATAAATAAAACCAGTATGTCTTACTGTGCTTGATTCAGGCTGAAAAACTGCCAGTGTAAAATCAAGATTGAAAAACCGTAGAAATTCTGCAACAAGACCTGCTACCAAGCGACCTAAAAAGCAAACAAGGAGAGTAAAAATACACCAAACAGTTCTTAGTTCAAAGCTTTAACATTATAATGGTTTCAGTATGAACTTCTACATTGACTCAACAGCCCTACAATCATTTAGACATTCAGGAAACTGCCACCACACAGAAGTAAGGGAATTGGTATACAAATCAGCTAACTCAGCCATCATATAAAATTAATCTTGCACCTGAATTTTTAACTATTCTGCTGATTAAAAGACATAATTTTGGCATTTCTCCTATGTGTGCATTCACTACTGTACATCTACAGTGAGTTTTCACTGGTTACTGTTTCTGTTGGTCTAGAATGGCTCTGAGTTAGCACAATCATAATTCATCATGAAATATTAAACTAATGCAATAGTCACCTATGTTAAGAATACAACTTCAGCAATATTAACTTAAACTACATTAAATTCTATTCTGCATTAACAGAATGACACTTGCCAGGAACAAAAGCATCCTTTATGTCATGAAGGCTGTACTGTTAATAAAAGATTCAAAGATTTAATCCTTTTTTTCCTACTTTTATTATTTTGAAAAGTATACTAAAAGAACTTACCATCTTTTGTACCTAAAAATTTTTTCAAGCTTTCATTTACTAGAGGTGCTTTGTTCTGTCAAAAAGCAAAAACCAAACAAACCAATTAATTTGTTAAAAAAAACAATTAACATCATCCTCCTACTAGCAAGAAACTGAAAACCACAAGTTGGTATTTTTGTGAATGCTGTTCCATAATGACTCCAGGCACATGTACTTCACTTCTTCAAAATCTACCTTTGCATTAGATTCTACTGCCTGTAAGTACAAGTTGCAGAGCCTTACACTTACTTCAGCATATTAAAATTCTCAGTATTTCTATTACAGAAGCTAGTAATTTCACTAAAATTCTTAATGGCATACTGATTTTCATTTACTTAAGGATTAGAAAGGTACAGTAAGCAGTTAACTTCCCAAATGGCTCCCCTAATAATAGCCCCATTAACAATAATGGCCAAGTTTGTCTAAGGAAATTCAGTCTTTGTTTTCAAAATACTAATTTACAAATCAGCTAGACAAATTGTGCTAATTAGTCATTCATAAATCAATACTAATCTTCTATTAATTAGAAGACCTTAAAAGATACTAAAATTGTTATTCTCCCTTGTTCAATTTGCCCTCTCCAACTTTGATTTTTAAATGGAGATAAATCACTGTGCTATATGGTTCAGGGATTTTTCAAACTAAATTCTAGATACCATTTCTAACATACCAAAATATGCTGGGTAAGAACTGAAGAAAAGCATCTGCGATAGGTATTTATCACTGTAGTCAAACATTAACATGCACAAGAAAGCACTGTGTGAAAAGATAAACCTATACGGCATAATACTTAAAAATTCAGAGTACTGGTAAGTATTAATGTATTTCCAGTGTCTTTATGGTGTAAAATTAATGATGCATCTCAGCCTTTTGAAAAAAAGGGTGAGCTGAGATTGACTGTAGCAAATCTCTCTTCAGCACTATTACTCTCCAGAGTCTGGGAAGTTGTACTCTGGGTACTCTATAACATGCTGAAGCTTCCCATAAGAGACAGCTCTACTACATCACTCTCCTATTATGCCTTCTTCAGTCATTTTATGTTAGATTTCTAGCATTCTAACATAAATTTCAAATACAGAATCTTATACCACATAATAACTTCTACCCTTCCTTAATAATATCACAATAAGGTCCACTTCAGTTGTGCCATTTTCCAGGTAGAGCATAACCACCTAACTTGTAGAGGAAAAGGACAGTTTTCCACTCCTTTATCAAAAAAAAAAAAAAAAAGAGCCTGGGCACACAGCACCCTCTTTTCTCTAGTGCCAGGGAAAGGAAACAGAGGAAACAAGGCAACACCAGCTGTATGAGGGTTCACAAAACTAGCATCTGCTACCACAGCAGTACTGTTACTTCATCATGTTAGTAACACATACCCTTAATATGAATATATTGTCACAGTATTAGCATGTAGACTATGTCTCAGTTCAGAAGTCTTCCTTCCATAGAAGTAAATTATGCTGAAGTAGGCCTACAACATCTTTACGAGAAATACCAAAAGCATCAGCATACTTGGAAAGTTACCGCATTAAATTGCTTTCATAATAAACTTATCAAAAAACACATCACAATATTTTAATTTCCAAAAGACGTTATTCAAATTTTATAAAATCTTAAAATCATTTCGGTTGGAAAAGTCCTTTAAGATTATCACATCCAACCATTAACCCAGCACAGCAAGTCCACCACTAAACCATGTGCCTGAGCACCACAGGTACACATCTCTTAAGTATCTGCAGGGACGGTGACTCCATTACTTTCCTGAGCAGCCTATTCCAGTGCTTGACAACCCTTTTGGTGATTAAATTTCTCCTAATATCCAAAAATCTGGTTTGTGTTCTTTAAGTGTCATGCTCTTATGCAGCAATATGTAACTTTTTCTTACTATGTTTCACAAATAGAAAGTATTAAGGCTATTATACTTAATTCTATATGAAGAACAATTAAAAAAAATTAAAAAATAATCATTCTAAGTTCTCTTACCTCTACTTTCTCTTGTTCTTCTAATGCCAAAAACACAGCTGCACGCAACTCTGCCTGCCAAATAAAAGAAACCAAACAAACAGCATTTGTACAAGCACTGTTTTCCCTATGTAAATAGAATGCATTAAACCAGCAAGTAACTTAACAGCTATTTTTTTCTCCTCAAGCAACTTGGCATCGATTGTAATCTACATCAGTGCAATTAAGGTGCTTTAAGATTGCAGGCAATATAACTTCAGGCTGAGAAGAAAGTTCTCAGTCTTAGAACACGGGAGGTTGTTCTGCCAATGACCAGGCCCAACAAGAATGACACAACCAGCAGAAAGAGAAACCAATACACAGACTGTATTATAAGTAAAAAGGACATTCCATGAATGATCACTGGGGGTACAAACAGATCAATCAGCTGGCACATAATTGACGCCACCCCCAGCGAGCTCACAAAAGATGTGACTCGGCCCACAACAGGTGGTACAAACAGAGAACTGAGGTTTCCCATAGCTGGTGTGGGAAACAGCCAGATCACCAAGCTAAACATATAAGAAAAAGGTGCCCACATGGCAACTCTCACCCAATCAGCCCATGTTTGTAAAGGTCTAAATTGACTGGGGCCCAGCTCCAGGAGAGTCAGGAGGTCTCTCCTGAACCAGGAAGCTCTGGGGAGTGCACTCCACAGACAGACACTCCTGACTCCCTGCAAGTGGTCCCAGCTTTTATCCCCCAGCAGACCCCTGACCTTTGTCAACTCAATGCAGGACCCCTGGGGCTCATTTCCCTTCTGGCTCTCCCTGCAGGGCCGGCCGCACCCTGGGGGGAAGCTATAAGGCAAACTCACCTCCTCTGTATGAAGGGCTGTGGGAATCACCCATATGTCAACCTTAATTCGGGGCTCGGGGTTCAAACTCCAGCATTTCAGAGGTGTGTGGAAGAAGTGATACAAGACTTCCTAAATTATTTCTTCATACACAAAAAGATTCCAAATTATCTACATTATCTCGTATTATTTTCTTCTGAGAGCTAAAAAAATCCATCTCTTACAAAGGGCAGCTTTGAAACACCTACCCTTCATTTACAATTTGTCCAGGAAGCACGAACAAACGACTTGTAATAATACGTTTTTAAAAATTAATGCTAAGGCACACAAATTCCTATGATTTCTTGTCAGATCAGACACAAAGAAACAGAATTTCTCAAGGAAAAGAGAGCTTGACTCCAGTCATTCAAATACCTCTGTAGTGAGAATTTACCTAACTGATTTTAAACACCTTAATGTCAAGGATCAGGATTCTTCTAAGAACTATTCTGAATGTTTAAGATTAAGCCTTACCTGTTTTTTTTGAACATTACAGTTTCTATACTTCTTTCATTGAAGATATCAAATGGACAACATACTTTAAGTAGTCTGCCACTTTAAACAACATTTCATCTGATGTTTTGAAGTAGCAACTGGATTGTTATGCAGTAATGAACTAAATGCCAGCTTTCTCAGGGGCAAAGAAGAAAGCTGGCTTTTAGAGACCAATTTCCATAACTAAGAATAATAAAGAATGTTTGGATTTTCTCACGTATATTACAAAAAGTAGGTTACCCTCTAACTGTTCCCTTCCACAAAAAAAAAAAAAAAAAAACCAACAACACAAAACACACAACACATTTCACAGAAAAATAAAATACTTGTTTTCTTTTTAAGCATAACCCTCTTTGGTTACCTTTCTAAAGGACAAAAAGTTAAAATTATTTACCATCAAAAGAAGTGTAAAATGCTTACCACAATTGTACATGACAGTCATACTGACATGACAGTTAATTTTTTTTCAGCATTCATACCCCATTCACAGGGTACAGCATTCAATGAGCAAGACTTCTTACAAGCCATTAATTTTAAACTGTTTTTAAAAATCAGTGCACATTAAGTTTCTGACCAACAGCTAAAATTTAGTCTTTTGTCACAATTAAAAACTTCAAAGGATTGCAATGCTGACTTTCTTTTCCACTGATGTCAGAGAAAAGAAGTGTGCTTACACAGGACACAAAGAGTAACGATGCATTCATGGAAGAGACAGGCTATTACAACCATTCAAAATAAATCCCACCTGTCGTTACATGTGGATAGGGATAAACCCCCTTAAGTGGTCTGGATCACGAAACTATAGAACGAAGTTGGCTGAAAGAAGTTGCCATTACACCAGCTGAACCACAGCTTGACCTGTTTGAGATTTTGGAATATCACAACTGACATTTCTTTCCACCTAACTATGACCATTTGCCTGTCCTGGTTCTCCTCTGAGGCTGACCCAGAGGCTCCTCTGGGTCCAATACAGAGACTTTTAAACACAGGCTGAGGTGCTTTTCTTCCTCTTATCACCTATTTAACGACAATGTCAATTTCTCCCACATGTTGCCATTCCCCATGAACAGCAGGGTCACTTCAGTGGCCGATTAATACCCCTAAGGTTAGGGCCTCATCACCAGAAGATAATGCAACCCGTCTTTACCTCATCTCCCTTTGGCTCACTGGCATACTCTAGAACACCACCCCACAGCTTTTCCACAGAAAAGCAGCCCTCCACACAGTGAGATGCTTGCAGGGTTGAAGGACCAAGTTTCAAGTTAAGCATTCCTGTACCATCTCCACAAGGAAGGTTTACATGATTCCACCACACTCATGCTCATCCTTTGAAGCAGGTACTGTCCAGATCCCAGAAAGATATTTTCAAAATATCATCGCAGTATATTTAGACATGGAACCATACACTTGAACCTGTGTGAGGTTAAAACAGTCATTCTCAGGTTCGTGAGGAAGCAAGTAAAAAGCAACAATTACAAAGCTGATGCCGAAGGCAAAATCACCTCCTACAAGATTAAGCATCCTGCACAGTAGAATGGACAATGTCATGTAGACTTTTCAGAAAATGAGACAAGTCAGAGAATTTGTACATCAGTCATAACAATTTGCTCCCACCAGAAGATATGGAGGCTTACATAATTGCACAGACTATTCTATTTCCAGTGTTCTTGTTCCACCCCGTCCCCTCCCCTCCCTTTTTTTCCAAGTGTGAACGGTTTGCATTTGTCTTTGCCCTAGAGCCCTTTGCACCGGCCCGACCTGCATTCCCTGCATTGTTACAATCTGCTCTTGCTATCCCCCTATTCCACACTGCCTTATCCTGCTAGCACTTTTCAACACAATCCAAATGCATTTTGAAGAATTTTTTTCAAAGTTGAGTAGTAAAGCAGACCAAAGCTTGATACTCAACTTCCCTACTCATATCCTTCCTAAATCTCCAATAAAATAGGGTTACATTGATGACGTTCACTCTGATCGCCCTCGCACCCACCAGACCCACAGGCCTCTTCCTCGTCCTGTGAAAGGTGCCCATTCCCTTCTATCCCTAAGTATTTTTATCAGGCAAGAGCTCATACCAAAGGGACCACAATTTTATTTCACTGTACTTAGCTAAAATGAGCAAGGGTAATATGGTATATGACACCTGCTGTCTGTACTCAGTAGGGAAATGCACTTTTGTTCAAAGTACTGACCCATACACTTCCCCTTTTCCTACCAGGCATTTACAGCTCATCAGACAACACTCTCTCTAGCCAATTGCTGTTGTACTGTAAATCAGAAGCTTACAGTCCATGAGAGAAACTTTTGTGCACTGGGCTGTAGTTTCCCTCTTCAGAACCCAGATAAGTTTATCCAGGTCTAAATATAGAGCCTCCTGTGTGTACCTGAAGTACTGTGCAGGGAAACAGCTTCCTCCTATGTCTGCAGCTCCCTGGCAAAGGGGAAAACAGTTCTTACTACCCTCAGTAGTTTCCCAAACATGTTTTAGGTGGCACCTCAGAGCTGCCAAACTGATTTGGGAATATGTCCTTAATAGGGAGAAAACGAGCAGCTTCCTTAAGAATGTTATTAGTCTGATTTAGTATCCTTGTATAAACCATCCACAGCAGCTTCCATTGCCAGATGCTGGATGAAAAGTAAAAGGATAAGACTGCCTAGGACTGAAGGATGACCTGTAGCTTCTAACTAGCTCTCACTTGCAGACTCCAACATTTAAGTATCTAGTGCTGGAATGCATTTGTCCAGCACTTAAACAAGAGAGCTTATTGTCTTAGGACAAAACTTGATACAATGCTTTTCATGAGGAAAGCACTTGGGTACTTAAAACTAATTTCTATGCCTCAGAGCATACCGGCATGGTCCCTGCCTTCTTGTAACAGGCATTAAGCACAAACTGTGCACAGAAAATAAGCATATGTTTTTTTTTCTTGACACTGCTAGTTGACAAATTCTTGCTGTCCATTTCATGCACTTCTCCACAATGTTTCTACAAATCCTTAAAGCCCTGCAGTTTTTGTAGAGGAAGCCCTGGGATTTTATTTTTTCCAAAGACACTTCAGCAGAAATAAATTTCAGCTTGCCAAATGTGCACCCTTCTCAACCTGCTTAAGTAGCTGAACACACACAGTTTTTGAAGCCACATCCAGGCAACTTTGCACATTCTCACAGAAACAAAGGGTAGGCAAGTTCAGCGAGTGTCGAAAAGGGAGACGTTCACTTGAGCGATCTTAAATGGACCAGCAGGAGGTGCAAAGCAGTTTTGCAAGCTTACATTCACAAATCACACACACCAGTGGATGGCGTGGTTAAGTGCACGTTTAGGGTAGTGAAATGATTCAAGTAGTGCATAAGATTTTGCAGAGTAAAAGAATGCACTGCTGCTGAGATAAACAGCCTTCAGATCTTCCAGGCAAAGCACAGGCACAGATAACTGCCATCTGCTCCAGTGCCATGGAACGGTCCCACCCATGTGCCAGCGTAAACAACCTCTGGCATATGGAGAGTGTAGTGGCCCATGGGCACCTTCCTGTACAACTTCCAGCACCTCCACTTCCTAATGACTGTCATGTACCTCAGTAGATAGAGGGCAAGGCTGACAGAGCATTAAGCAGTCCAAACACTGGTCACCCCAGGCTAAAAGTCTGTGTGTACCAGGCTAACAGTCCACACCAGTCTATATGCAACACCAATCCAAAACTGGTGCCAAAACATAAACAACAACTTCACTACCAATGTTACTCGGTACCCTCCCTATCACTCTTCATCTGCAAAGTTTGTGAGGTTCTCAGCCTTGAGCAAGACCAGGGAGTAGTTTGCGTGACTATGTATTGTCAGAAAAAAACCTCTTCAACTTAGCAGCCTTTTTTTGTCTATGAAAGTTAAACTTCTTTGCAGGGTAATCAAAAATATGAAGAACACTAGGAAATATATAGGAAGAATCCACGCCACAAAGGGGGTAATAAACACCTAAAAGCCATAAACTCTAAATACCTACACATTTATCATGTGCTTATTCTACATGTCACAAGGAGGTCTCAATCTCATGTTATTAAAATTCATTCATCCATGATGCGAAGAGGAACATATTGACATTTAAATGTTGAATTTTGGGGAGTTCACCTGAAATCATTATAAATGGCTATCATTATAAACAAAATCATTATAAATTATACTTAAAAGAATAGGTAGATGTTACACAAAAAAAATTAATGGTTCTCCTGGATTCCAAGAAATGAGTTAACCTTCTGAGATTAACCCTTTTAAAAACCAACCCCGCAACATCCAGAAAACAGGAGGTTACACTATAGGGTACCACATACTCATCACAACAGTTAACATTCCAAACACGTTTAAAAGCATTGTTGATTATAACAATGTGGTTATATGCAAATAGCAAATAAGCAAACAGGCCTAAACTTATTTTTCCAGAATGAAAGATACAAACCAAAACAAAGTAAGATAGCAAAGGAACACAGTAAGAATCATAATGGCTCTTCCTGCTTTGATGATGATAGTTTCCCCAGAAGAAAGATTACATTCTCATCAAGAGAGAAGACAATCTCTACTAACACAGCATGCATTGCACAGTATCAGTGATAATTTTCACTAAAGTACAAATACCCAGTTATATTTTGTATGTTCATAGAATTCATTAGGAAGCAGACTTGCCCATCAGATTAATCCCAGCAATTAACAAATTACATCTATACACTCATGGCAGTTTAGAGCAGATAGGGAATTCTCAACTGCAAGTGGCAAATATATTTACACATCTTCCAGTTTTTACACTATGACTTCATTAAATACTCCAGTATTTACAGTCTCAGGAAAATAGAAGCATCATGAAAAGATTTTTAAAATGTCACACAAGTAAAAATTTTGTCAGCTAAATAATTTATATCAACACCAATGCACTCAAGAAATCAATCTCAAAATAAGAATAAACTGCAACCCATTATAAAGATCATTGTATTAAAGAACAAAGGCATTGCTAAGTTTCTTTCTAAAAATTACTCAGTTAATAAATGTTACCCAATGTATTAGCTGACAGCCCAACGTATTCTATCCACTGAAATAATTCCACCTGAACTCTAATTCTTCCAGAGTTGTCTTTACCTGTGGTGCTTCCTACCAATTCAACTATTCATTGACGATGTATTTTTCTCTCTAAATGTATCTGCTTCAGTAAATCTCACACACATTATAGTTATCTTCCTAGCCTCATCCATCTTGAAAAAATGGCAAGTACTCATTCTGAAGTATAAAACAACTGTTTTGATAATAAGTAAAATGTTTTCAGTTCTACCACATAATAAAAAATATTGACACACACAATAGATAAACACTATTGATCACAACCATGTTTAAATTATTTTAATGGAATGATGATGGCAAATTTTTTTTTAATGCATGGTATAATCTATTTTCATTTAAAGGCTAATGATTTCAGAAGACTTACTCAACCTTAATTCTTGTGGAAGACAATGGCCTTTTTGTCAGGTACTAGCAGAACAAACTCTGTAAGTCATTAATACTATCAATGAACAGAGAGTCATCAAACTTACACGCCAATTAAGGTTTACAGCTAAGACAAAACACCATGAACTCATCAAATGAGCAGGCTTAACCATACCAGTTATTAAAAAGAGACATAACCCAGTAAATAGGATGTAGTTTGCACTGTTGTAAGTCATTTGCTAGCTTGCTTTAAGTATACCTTATGCCATATTGGATACTGCAAACTTGCAGCATCACAGAACAGCGAAGACTGCAGTAAATAATCACATAAAAGTCAACGAACTGGCACCTGTAGTACAAAAACTTACATACCACAATAAGGCAGGAATTAAGAAACACCAATTCACGTGTTCAATATGACCTAATTGGCTTATGGTTTATTTTTAGTTATCCTTTTATCATTATACTTTTATTAGTTAACACTGCTTCAGAAGTTAACAGGTGGCCCAAAGGGCCTACTTGACAAATTAGCTCAAAAAAGGTCTCCCTACTCAAAATACAGCTCAAAGCTACATGAACTAGAATCTTTATTTACTTATGGAATTCAAATAAGGATTAGCCATTTGAAGTGCAAGTACAGCACATTTTTATTAAAACTGTTTTGTTGAAAAGTATGACAACTAGCCCAAGATCCTGTGGACTTCAAAGTACATATGTAAAGATGCTCTCAATTCCATTAATGACTTCAGCTGTTAAACTGTTCCCGAAATATCAGTAATAATTACTTATCTATGGCAGGCTTAGAATAGAACACCACAGATAAATGCCAACATCCTTGATCTGAAATCCAAATTTCATTTCTCCTTTAGATTGGAAGGGAATTCAGTGGTTCTTATGCTTCTACAACTGTATGGCTCTTTACTATAACAATAATTATTGCTGATAGTTTCCAATTTGAATAAGAATCCAAGGAACCAATTTTCATAGGCTTCCTGATACAAGTTCAGGCTACACCACAGGCTTGGAAGTAGTGTTCACTCCACTACAACACTATCTTTCATAGATTTTCTTAAGATAACAATATCTGTTCCCTGTAGGCAGGCAGCATCTCCAGAGTTTCCAGATTTAGTAAGCCTCCAAGACACAACTCAAGAAACCCACGCTCAAGAACAACACTTAAACAGCGACCTTCAGGAACGCATGCTTGAAATGTTCAACGGGGGCTTTCTGTATCGAAGTAAAAAGAAACTCTCACCACCTTGCCCCACACTACTCGGCAGCTGAACGTTCCCAGCGGGCCTGGCAGTAGCAAAGGGGCTCACACGGAATATACGAGAGCGAACCCGCACAGCCGGGCGCCGGGCTCCCTGCGACGGCCGGGAGCTCCGCTCCCTCTCCCCGCCTGGCGATCTCCTATCTCCCGCTGCCGCCGGGCAGACCTCATGCAGCGGCCAGGCC